TGTATGATTTCGTGTATGATAGTCGCTGTAGTTGCGCTGTCGCTTCCCCACCACAATGATTATTTTTTTCCTCCTTTCTATAGGCGCTTAGTCTGACGACGTATGTTAAATAAAAATTGGGCCTGACTATTTTTCCATTAATAAAAACTTGTATCCAAATTCAACATTTTAGAAAACAGTTTCACCATCAACCAAACTTTTTTTATAACTTTGACGCGCTGCTGACGCGTCCTTTACGATATTTTTTAGTTAATTCACTATTCAGAGACCAGCATTCAGATTTTAGGAAACTGTTGCGACTACTACTTTGCTGTAATCGATTCTCATCTCAGATACGGGATTTGCTTTTGGGGATCTTGTAGTAGAGTTCTATTCGACACGATTTTTGTATTGCAGAAAAGGGCATTGAGATACATGTGCAAAGCCAAATTCAGGGATTCGTGTAAGCCTTTATTTATAGCACAAAGAATCTTACCACTACCATGCATCTATATATTGGAAACAGTATGCCTTATCCAGAGTAAGTTTAGAGGAGTGCAATCAACTCCACAATATATGACTAGACAAGCTTCTGATTTAACTTTACCACTCCCTAGGTCTGCACAAATAAAAAATTCCATTATATATAATGGCAAGAAAATGTTCAATCACTTACCTAATGAAATGAAAAGGATCACGGATAAAAGAAAGTTCAAAGTTTCTTTGAGAAATTTTTTGCTAGACAAAGCATTCTATTCACTGGACGAATTCTATTTGGAAAAATTTTAGATTCCATTTTATGTCATTCTACTTAATCGTATTGTTAACTTGCCTTTTCTCATTTTACCATACTTTTGTATTGTTCTTTTATTTATTTATATATATGAATGCATATTGTATGTTTTTTAAATATCGTAGGTTTTTAGATTATTGTCTGTCTTGATTTTATAAGGTTTTAAGATATATCATGTACTTATGTTTTTAGATTTTATTGTCGTCTGACCTTGTAAAATTGACGTGTAGTGGTCTGCACTACAAATGTATGTGATGAATTTCATGTGTATTTATGTATATATCGCGTAGTCTTCCCTATGTGGCCTGAATGTTCAAATGATATGTTTGTTGTTTTTCACCCTAACACTTTGTCAATAAGAACTACCATTCTTGAGACAATAAAGTAATTTTGATTTGATTTGATTTGTACAAGGTATTTTAACAACTTTGAAGCCGCCCCTGCGCAAATCACTAACGAGACGGATGGCAGGCTATTGCTATACACCATGAATAATACATAACATCAGCCTTTAGAAATAAGTAAATCAAGCTAGGAAGAAGCTGAAACGAGTTCACAAAAGCCAGAATTTCGGGGTTCCCATAATCTGATGAAGGAGAATTGCCTAGGGTGTCGGTATTTCTCAAATGTTTGTCATTAAGGTTGATTCAGAAGGTTAAAATTTTATCAGTTCATTTCGATCGTTTCGTTTATTTTTGTTCAATTTTTTTTTTTTCGAGAGAGTAAACGTAAAATTGAAACCAATATCTTGTTATTGAACTATAAAGTCCTGGAGGAAATGATGCCTATTGATAAACCAGTTTCTTGTTGTATATCATGGGTGTGGAGGATAGTATTCTAGCATGGGTCTAAGAAATTATGAAAATCTATAGTTGAATTTACCATATTTCCAAAGTTCATTTCATTCGATCAGCTGATCTGGTGATCTGATGAGAAATAAAATGGGCCATCTCATCGTATCAGGGACTTTTGAAATATAAAAAAAGATTTAGAGATCTGAGACTTTGGTATTAATGATTAGTGAGTAAATAGTAATAAAATACTCTAGACTGATATGATATGGACTGGATCATTTACAATGTATTACACTTCGACAGGTAAGTGTCCACAGCTTTTATAGTCAATAAATAGTGGTAAAAATTGGTGGATTGCGATGTGGTAAACGCTGCCACTTATTTACAGGCCCTATTAATAATAAGAACTCTACTAAAAAAAAACTGTAAATTATTCAAATACAGGGCTGATACTCTTGATATCATATGGGTGTTATGTAGTTTCTAAAAGCACAAAAGCATTCATGATTTGAATACAGTGTTGTATTCAAGAAAAGAAAACTTTGGGTTACTTATATCTTAATAATGACAGCTCATTTGAAAAATCTGACTACGTCACTGGATTCCATGTGAAAATAGGATGAGAGAAAGTTTTTACTTTCAATATTTTCGAAAGGTAGCTGAGATACCGAGGAGGGGCCCAAAATGCAACATTTCCAATTTCGCCCTGTATTTCAAAAACGAAGCGAGGTTATGAATATTTTGTTCATCTGATTTCGACATGTAGGTAGGTAATTTGACACTCTTCAAAACGAAACGTAACCAATGTGTGAAGTAAAATGTTTCATGACTGGTGATGAAATGTTTATTTCAACACCAGTTACGGAATATAAACATAGATGGACGAAGGGAATAGTGAATTTTGTGTTGCTTCCTCGATATCAATCGGTAAATCTGAACTTGATTCAGACAGTTTCCACAAATGAGTTGACAGTATTTTTGCTTGACAGATACTTCAAAATGACAGGCGAAGTCAACTTGACTACTAAACTTAGTACATCATCAGTAGAACTCGTCATGTAGAACTGGCCATCATTTTTGTTCATGCGAAATTGTTCGTCAAAATTGGAAAAAATATTGTACCTGTGTTTTGCAGGATCTCGCTTTGCTCGTCCCGCAAAATCCCATCGTCAAACGAAATGACGGGTTTCCTAACTGCTTACGTAAATATCTATTGCGATATTGTGAGACCATGACAATGATTACATAATAGATGAAGAAAAATAGTTTCCTGATTTCAATGTTCAATGATGAATTCTATAATTGTAAATTTCTGAAAACTTACTGAGGTGTCATCAAATTCGTTTCATATAATTAATGAAGTAGGTAATCAGAGAGTCATATGTTTTTAATAATAGTCAGTTCCTCTGTTTACATTAAAAATATATGTACATATATGATAATAACATTTCTAAAAATCTTACACATTGATATACCTACATTGATACTGAAGATTTAAATATTTCAGTACTCCGATCGAAATTATTCATTCTATTGTAACTGGTCCCAATTTTTCCAAAATTGATAATGTTGTTCTCAGTTATTGTATAAAAAATATTATGAAAAAGATTCAATATATCGATATAAATAAATCTATGCAAACAGGGTGGTCCAAATTTTTATACATCAATTTTGAGGAGTGATAGAGATTGTAAATGAACATAAACGAGCTCTATTATTCCATATGTCTAAGAAAATCAAAGTTATTCATTGATTCAAATTTGGCACACTACCTTTCTATGAGGATCCGCGTCTACCAGCATGTGTCAAATAAGTTACAGGAATGAGTAATTGAGTGAATCATCGATTCTTTCAAAATTATCCAGTGATCTATAAAAGGAATATGTAACCCCTGTATCGGAGCCTATGGATTCCTGTCACCATTGTTGACTTGCTCTGTGCTCTGTGTACCGAAGTCAAAAGGGACCACTTTCGTATTTCCTTAGGAATGTTAAATGAAGTTTTCTCCAATGAAACTCAAGTTATCATGCATTTTTGAGGTATGTTCACTATGAAGTCATTCCATTTTGCGAGTCCCTGTCAACTCTCGAAATTGATGTACAAAAATCTGGACCACCCTGTATTAAGAGTCCGGGAACAGTGGCGCGGTTCTCCATATTCTCCATTGAAAAAACAGAAGAGTAAATGTTATTTTCTGGAACCAATTAACAAATTAGCCTTCGACGTTTTCAAATCTGAACACAAGAATGACGTTTTCTATGAATCGTTATTAATATGAAATGATGAAAGTACGCTCACATCGCTGCCACGAGCCCATTCTAGCATAATTGAAAATTATGTCAGGAATCTATCAAACACTAATGTAGCAGAAAGTACAAAAGATGTAACTTTGAATTTCCTATTCTCCTACCGGATAAATCGAGAAAGAAATATCACCAACTTAGGTGATCCATAACTTACAGTGGAGGTGATATAAATCAGGAGGATTAATCCTTCATCATCAGCAAATTTATAAAAAGAAAATCTGTAAGAAGAAACAACGCTTATGTTAGTTTTCAAGTATTGATTGAAAAAATCTAAATGTACCTACCATTATTATTGGAAAAAGATTACTTATTGAAAAACATGAAAAACTATTTTTAATCGCGCATAGTGTGGGTGAGTAACTGTTAGGGAACCATGATAACAGCTCTATAAGAGCTTAGTTTTCGAAGATAATATGATATAAATCAAATATTAAATTGAACCAACAACAACAGTGATTTAGAGAGCACACACCGTTCATGTGCGACATGTTCACTGAAGACGAGTGTACATGTACGAGTACCGATTGCTGTTTCACCAATGAATACATGACATATTTCCAATAATAATCACTTGAAACACACATGTACCCAATCTCATTATTCTAAAATTTGGTGTAATTGGGGAGATACATCATTTATTTTTCAAATGATGGATCGAAAGAGTTAAACTATGTATTTTTCAAAGATTTAACGACGTAGAGGAATGAATCATCATGATTGTATAATGGGAAATATTTTCATTTCGTGAAAATCAGGAAATTAGGTAACTTTGAGAAAAACATTCACATATCTGTTTTTCAGTGGATACATGAAAGACCGCGCAACTGTTGCCACACTGTCTATAACAACAATATGATTTTAGATTATAGCACGTTGAATTTGTAAAAGTTCGAGTAGATATTTCGAACAATTGAGTAATGAACAACAGATTACTGTCACGACGCAAAAAGTTCATGGGAGTCAGTTCTCGTTCGTTTATATTTGATTTACAATAAATCGAGTGTCTAGCAGATATTTTTCGTAACATTAGGAAATTACACATGTTTTTATGGTGACAGGAATTTCCACAGAAAGTGGGCTTGAATTATTAGTATCATTCACTTCATTATCATCACAAACAAATCCTACCTGTGAATTTCGAGCTGGGACATGCCTCATTCTCATTTTGGGACGGTTTTCACAACTGAAATCAGTACACATAGTCCTTATCCAGTCCCTGAGACCAGACAAAGTATGAAATTCTGAGTTTGGTACTCTAGAGCATGGGTTTTGACTTGTTAGATCCAGTATAGAGGCACCTAAGGACCTTCCAACCTTGAAAAAAAATGTTGAATTAATTATTATAGTTGCTTTATTTTTGTTCATTTCAGTTGGTTTTGTGAATATTACTATAACTGCTTGTGAGTGTTGGTAAATGTAGTTAAATTTTTACCGTTTTCTAATAGAAATTCAGAATGTACAATTAAAAATTGATCAACAATGCCATGACTTAATCTCTCTTATCATTGCACTGATCTGGTTGAAATTTAGAATACTGATATGAGGTATAGTTATTCAAGTGCGCCCCTTCGAATTGATTCTGAATGATTTTTTTCAATTTTTGAACCCGATTATACAGGGTGTTTCATTACAAATTGGGAATATTGCATCTATGAAATCCTGAGCTCAAAATATGAAGAGTTAACCCAAACATCTGAAAAGATGTGTGTCCTGTCTGTTACGGGGTGTTCTATTATTCATTATATTAAAAAATTCAAAAATGATTGTTATATCTTTTTGGTCATCATGAATTGAAGTTTCGTTTGCGTGATGAATGCAATCCAATGATACAAAACATCGACATACTAAATACAGATCAAAATCAAATAATTGTGTAGCTTCTTGTTTAACTTGAAATATCTCGAAAAAGATTGACATCGCTAAATAGAAAGAGTACGATATGTACGTAAAAAGTATTAGAGAATAGAAAAATTGTGAAGAAATTGTAATTCCGCCGATGGCAAAGAATTTGGATAGGATCAACCTCTGGTAGTACCCAGAAACGTATATTTTTCATAGAGTGTCTCGAACATCTCATTACACGCCCTTTGAAGAGTGTGGACACGCTTGTGACCACTGGAAATTGTCATAATTCTGAGATTGAAAACGTCAGTTCTGAGAATTGAAAAGGCGTCCCTCGAAAATAATTTCTGAAATGTCGGTAACGAATTGCAGAAAGTCCAAGAATGATGTCTACCATTTATATTTGAGTTGCCGAGAATTAATTTCAAATGTTTGTTAAAGCTTCAAATTCCAATATTCATTCCATGAAAATACATTCAATGATGTAATATTGATATAACTACAAAATATGCCTGGTATTACGCCACTGTTGGGGTTTCAAATAATACCATTTGTCTGCACTCGTTCAATGATATTCCATCTCCTATAAAACATATTTGTGTCTGTTTTTTGTTGAGCTGTTGAACAACACTCTTTGAAGAGCGTGAAATAAGATGTTCGAGGCACTCTAATTTCAGATAATTTGCCAAATATGACAATGATGCGGCGATTACTTCCAAAGCACTAGGCACAAATAAATTTATAATTTTCAAATAAAACACCCTGTAACTCAGATGAGAGACAAATTGTATCTAGGTGATTTGGGTAAAATCTTGATATATTGTGCTCAGGATACTATGGTTGAAATATTTTCATTTAGTAATGATACAACCTAATGTATAGAACAGTAATCCCAAATTATTGATATCAGATCACAAGTTATCATATGTCTAGGAAACGAAGCCAATGAAGGACCGTGGGGCATAAATATGGTTACTATGCGAAGTACCTACTGTTCAATCAACTTTATCATTCCCAAGAAAAAACATTTTTCTCCAAATGACATTAAAAGTTTTTAATGACACTTAACAGGCAGAGAAAGTACTGCCCAGTCAGAAAAAGTTTGTTGCTATGCTGTTGGGATGTTTGCAGTAAAAAAACGAATTGCTCAGAGTCGTTCATCAGACAACCGTTCGGATTGGTGGTTGAAATTGGAATCCCCCATCAAATCTGTTTTTTACTTCAAACCTTTGTCAGTCGTTTTTCCTGAAATTCGCTGACATGCGAGCGTTACCAAAATCATGTATCTATTCGAACTCAATAAATTGGAACAAGGCTACGAACTTCATGAAATTATTATCAGTAGTTATACTATAAGCACTTCGAAATATTCGGATTATACATCGATAACTTGTTGTATAATTAGAAAGAGTGTCAGTTCGTCAGTTGAAATAATCCGACCGTGAAGCGGGAGGATTATTCTATCAGTCATTGTACAATTCATGATACCTATATTTTCTTGATATATCCATGGACCCGTTTTAAGCAGTGAAATATTTTAGTAACAAGCTTCGTTGGCTTCTGTGGCGAAGATGCACGACATGAGGGAGAATAATTTCAAGAATAACATTATCCTGCGAAAAGAAATATTTTGCGTTATTGTCCCGATTATCAATAAACCTTTTCAAACGATACAAATAGTTTTCTTTTGTTAACCAATAATGTAACATTCACGTTCTACAGACAGTATCGATATTTTGAGATTTAATTCATGTACATTTTTGTCAAAGAATGATTTTATAATAAGTTTTCCTCTAGCTGCTTCATGGGCGACTGACAACCGCAATTTCATTTCATTATAATAATCGTCGAAATTATACATTATTTCTGTTTTTTTGTCTCATTGGAGTATAAGATTGCTTTTCTACCGAACCAAAGTTCAAATGGGTTGAAACTAGTGGAAGTATGTGGAGTGGTATTGTAAGTGAACAACGCGCAAGAGATTTGAGTATTGAGTATCCCAAGTATTTATATACCTATCTAAAAAATTGCTTAATCATTCTGCCAGACTCCCATGAAAACGCTCTAAACTGCCATTTGATTGTGGATGATAGGCAGTAGTAGTAATTTTACTAATTATGCCTATCTGAGAAATTGCGTAATTATTCTGCCAGACTCCTATGAGAACGCTATGAACTGCCATTTGATTGTGGATGATAGGCAGTAGTAGTTATTTGACTAATTTTCAGAAGTTTACATGCGTCCTTCAATATATTACTAAAAAAATAGCTCCTTGATCGGTGACCAGAAAATGTATTCCGAATTAACAAATATGATGGTTTCAAGGAAATAACGTGCTATTGTTGAAGATTCCTGAGTTTCTATAGGGATGGCTATCAAATGCTTTTTACTACAAACGCTCAACAAAGTAGCCTTTGACGCTTTCAAATTCAAGTCTAAATCCAATATGGCGGACTATCCAAGATGGCGGAATAGCTATTTTTGATATACTTCTATAATATGGGTATCAAATGGAAAGGCTCGTTGAGAGTAACTCGAAAAATGATGTGACGTCATTCTAAATCGAATATGGCGGACCATCCAAGATGACAGAATGGTCATTTTTAATCTACTTCTACAATATGGGTATCAAATGAAAGGGCTCGTTGGGAGTAATTCGAAAAATAATGTGACGTTATTCTAAATCCAATATGGCGGACCATCTAAGATGACGGAATAGCTATTTTTTATATACTTTTACAATATGATTATCAAATGAAAAGGCTCGTTGAGAGTAACTCGAAAAATGATGTGACGTCATTCTAAATCGAATATGGCGGACCATCCAAGATGGCGGAATGGTCATTTTCAATCTACTTTACAATATGGGTATCAAATGAAAGGGCTCGTTGAGAGTAATTCGAAAATTAATGGGACGTTATTCTAAATCCAATATGGCGGACCATCCAAGATAGCGGAATAACTATTTTCAATATACTTCTACCATATGGGTATCAAATGAAAAGGCTCGTTGAGAGTAACTCGAAAAATTATGTGACGTCATTCTAAATCCATTATGGCGGACCATCCAAGATGGCGGAATGGTCATTTTCAATATACTTCTACAATATGGGTATCAAATGAAAAGGCTCGTTGAGAGTAAATCGAAAAATCCAGCTAGCGATAACTAAAAATTAAAAAATAAATTAAAAGTAAAAAAAAAACTTTTTAATAAAAAGCTTTTATTTAAACGCTCTGAAAAGAAGAAAATAAAATTTTTCTCAATAATTTTAACTATCAACTTATAACCTCATTATACACAATTTATATGATCATAAAAGCTTGTCGCGATAATCGATATTTAATTAAATTGTAATTTTAAAGATTTTATCTCAGCAGATTTTACATAATTGAATAAGTACTAGTTCATTCACACAAGTGAATCGCGTGACAAACTTTTATGATCATATAAATGTGTATAATGAGGTTATAAGTTGATAGTTAAAATTATTGAGAAAAATGTTATTATCTTCATTTCAGAGCGTTTAAATAAAAGCTTTTTATTAAAAAGTTTTTTTTTAGTTTCAATTTATTGAGAAATACTTTCCAATTTGATATACCTAATTAGTTCATTTATTTCGAAATTGGGAATTGGGATATTATAATTATCATAGTTACGTTATTTTGGACAATCTGTATGAACGTCATTTTGGGACAGTCTTTATAAATGTTATTTGTAGGTACTTGTTCCTCAGAGGCAGAAACAAATGTTGTTTTTCTTCAGCATGCACTTTTTGTATAATATTTTACGCAGTGAAGCAGAAATTCGAGAAAATGCAATGCTATCTTCTACCATTATTCGCTAGATCTGGAAAATTGTGCATGTTTCGGCAATCAATTAACAAGATTGCACCACTATTTTGCGAAGGTGGTTGAAATCCTTTATGGACACCACGAAGGACCAATTCTTTCAACGGTAGTGTGACAGTCCCTATATGTAGGTGTACCCACTAAACACTAAACCTCTTTCCAAGGCTCGTCTGACACCTAGGCCTATTTGTCTATTGTAACGGCACTTCAACAATGATTGAGTTGAACGTGACTGTTTTTAATGCGGCGTCTCTTTCCCACCCATGTTAAAAATATACGACTGTATTCTTGGTTGCATAATAATCTATCACGTGGTTTTCAATCATTGTTGAAGACCTGGTCGTGATTCTTATATAAAGGTCACTTCAAATACCATCACAGTAACTGTAAGCACCCCCGCTCACAGGACAAGAGGTTCGTTTGAAAGAACCTTGTCGATAAGGTTCCTAAAGACTACTCTTCCGAGCCCTAATTTCGTCCATGTAGAAGGCCAGAAGTTTTTCTTCTCTCACAAGTAGCTGGGTAAGAGGTTGGTCCAGCCCTGTAGTGCCCGCTGCACAGGGCTGAGGTCCCGTTAAAGACACCATATAACCTCGGTGCCATTCATCCTTCGTCACAGGTTC